CTAGGCTGGGCGCAGTGGCTCACGCCTGTAATCTCAGCACTTTGGGAGGCTGAGGTGAGTGGATCACCTGAGGTCAGGAGTTCGAGACCAGCCTGACCCACACGGAGAAACCCCATCTCTACTAAAAATACAAAATTAGCCAGGCTTGGTGGCACATGCCTATAATCCCAGCTACTTGAGAAGGCTGAGGCAGGAGAATCGCTTGAACCTGGGAGGTGGAGGTTGCAGTGAGCCGAGATCACGCCATTGCACTCCAGCCTGGGCAACAAGAGCAAAACTCCGTCTCAAAAAAAAAAAACCCAAAAAATATAGGATCTCACTCCGTCACCCAGGCTGGAGTACAGCAGTGCTGTCATAGCTCAATGTAACTTCAAACTCCCAGGCTCAAGCAATGCTCTCATCTCAGCCAAGTATAGTCCCGAGTAGTTAGGACCATAGGCACACTCCACCACACCTGGCTAATTTTTTAATTGTAGAGATAGAGTCTTGCTCTCTTGCCCAGGCTGGTCTTAAACTCCTGGCCTCAAGCGATCCTCCTGCCTCAGCCTCTCAAAATTTTTTCACCATTTAAAATATTGTGGTAACATAGATAAAACATAAAATTTACCATCTGGCCAGGCATGGTGGCTGACGCCTGTAATCCCAGCACTTTGGGAGGCTGAGGCGGGCGGATCATTTAAGGTCAGGAGTTCGAGACCAACCTGGCCAACATGGCGAAACCCCGTCTCTACTAAAAATACAAATTAGCTGGGCGTGGTGACACACGCCTGTAATCCCAGCTACTCAAGAAGAATTGCTTGAATCCGGGAGGCAGAGGTTGCAGTGAGTCGAGATTGCATCACTGCACTCCAACCTGGACGACAAAGCAAGACTCCGTCCAAAAAAAAAAAATTTAACCATCTTATCCATTTTTGAGTATATAATTCAATGGCATAAAGTACATTTGCATCGTTTGTTTGTGTGTGTTTTTTCTTGTGTTTGTTAGGGACGGGATCTCCCTATGTTGCCCAAACTGGTCTCACACTCCTGGGCTCAAGTGATCCTCCCCCCTCAGCCTCCCAAAGTCCTGGGATTATAGGTGTGAACCACCATGTCCAGCCCATTCACACTATTGCACAACCATCACCACCATCTATCTTTAGAACTTTCTTATCTTTCCAAACTGAAACTCTGTCCCCATTAAACACTCACTCCCATTCTCCTTCCCCCAGCCCCTGGCACCCACCGTTCTATTTTCTGTCTGTTTAAATCTGACAACTCTAGGGCCGGGCGCAGTGGTTCACACCTGTAACCTCAGCACTTTTGGAGTCTGAGGCAGATGGATCACTTGAGGTCAGGAGTTCGAGATCACCCTGGCCAACTTGGTGAAACATTGTCTCTAGTAAAAACACAAAAATCAGCCAGGCATGGTGGTGGGCACCTGTAGTCCCAACTATTCAGGAGGCTGAGGCAGGAGAATCACTTGAACCCGGGAGGCAGAGGTTGCGATGAGCCGAGATTGCGCCACTGCAGTCCAGCCTGGACGATGGAGCAAGACTGTATCTAATAATAATAATAATAATAATAATAATTAATCTTGGCAACTCTAGGGACCTCGTGTGAATGGAATCATGCAATGTTTTTGTCCCTTTTGCATCTGGCTTCTTTCACTTAGCATAACATTGCTCCACCTCATTTTTTGGCTCTCCCAGGATTTTTTTTTTTTTGGAGACAGAGTCCCGCTCTATCCCCCAGGCTGGAGTACAGTGGCATGATCTCTGCTCGCTGCAACCTCCGCCTCCCAGGTTCAAGCGATTCTCCTGCCTCAGCCTCCCAAGTAGCTGGGATTACAAATGTGCACCACCATGCCCGGCTAATTTTTGTATTTTTAGTAGAGATGGGGTTTTGCCATGTTGGCCACGCTGGTCTCTTAACTCCTGACTTCAAGTGATCCACCCACCTCAGCCTCCCAAAGTGCTGGGATTACAAGCGTGAGCTACCGCGCCCGGCCTCTCCCAGGATTTCAAGTTAGGCGCCCTGCACTTCGGGCAGAGATTGACATTGTGAATCCGTCTCCTGGCCACGCAGTATGTTTGTTTATTTCATGTGAATTTATTGCCAAGTTTAAAAAGAAAAATCAAGAGACTGACATAGCAACTGGCGTTTGCTCTCGCTCGGTTCCCCACTCATGAGTTCAAGCCCTGGCTCTGGCATGGTTTTTATGTTTTCTGTGGTCTGAGCTGGCCACACCCTGGTCTGGGGATGCTGTTGGCCGTGCTGATGACCGAGTGTCTCATGCAACCAGCCCTGTCTATGTTACTCTTTGCCTGTGTCCAGCATTTGATCACCGTTCTGTACTAAAGTTGAATGTTGCCTGTGGGCCTCATAAGTCACTGTATATGGCAAAACGAATTTAAGGCTGGGCATAGTGGCTCATGCTTATAATCCCAGCTATGTGAGAGGCTGCGGTGGGAGGATCCCTTGAGCTCTGGAGTTCAGGAGCAGCCTGGATAATATAACAAGACCCTGTCACAAAGAAAAAAAAAAAAAAAAACCAACAACCTTTTTATCCATTAAAGGGAATTCAAATTAATTGGTCTTCAGAGTTGGCGCCCCGGGGGACAGGAAGGGGAAGCCCCGAGGAAATGCTGACACAGAAGGCACGCATGGGCTGGGCGGTGCTGCTCAGCCTGTAACCCCAGCACTTTGGAAGGCAGATCACTTGAGCTCAGGAGTTCAAGACCAGCCTGGGCAACATAGTGAAACCCCATCTCTACAAAAATTACAGAAAATTAGCCGGACACAGTGGCATGTGCCTTTACTGCCTGCCACTCGGGGGCTGAGGCAGGAGAATCACTTGAACTCTGGAGGCACAGGTTACAGTGAGCCGAGATCGCATCACTGCATTCAAGCTTGGGTGAAGGGAGTGAAACCCGGTCTTAAAAAGCAGCCTGGGGGGACCTGAGTAGATTCCAAGACATTGGTGGCTACACGAAAAGGAAACGACTTTTATTCCACGCCGTGACTGGCAGTCCAGGACCTCAGCGTCCAGGAAGTCACCTTTGTCCTCAGACCAACCTGGGTGGGTGTTTTGTTTTGTTGTCTTTTGTTTTGTTTCGTTTTTTTAGTCAGGATGTGTTTTTTTTTTAATTTTTTTTTTTTTTTAATTTTCAAGATGGAGTCTCACTCTGTCACCCAGGCTGGAGTGCAGTGGTGTGATCTCGGCTCACTGCAACCTCTGCCTCCCTGGTTCAAGCAATTCTCCTGCCTCAGCCTCCCTAGTAGCTGGGATTACAGTCATCCCCACCCCACCATGCCCAGCTAATTTTTGTATTTTTAGTAGAGATAGGGTTTCACCATGTTGGCCAGGCTGGTCTTGAACTCCTGACCTCATGATCTGCCCGCCTCAGCCTCCCAGAGTGCTGGGATTACAGGCATCAGCCACTGTGCCCGGCAGTGAAGACGTGTTTTTATCTGATTTATTTTTATTTTTATTTTTTTTAAGAGGCAGAGTCTTGCTCTGTTGCCCAGGCTGGAGTGCAATGGCATGATCTCTGCTCACTGCAACCTCCGCCTCCCAGGTTCAAGCAATTCTCCTGCTTCAGCCTCCTGAGTAGCTAGAATGACAGGTGTGCACCACCATGCCCGGCTAAAGTAGAGACAGTGTTTCACCATGTTAGCCAGGCTGGTCTCGAACTTCTGATCTCAGGTGATCCGCCCGCCTCGGCCTCCCAAAGTGCTGGGATTACAGACGTGAGCCACCATGCCCGGCTAAAGTAGAGACAGTGTTTCACCATGTTAGCCAGGCTGGTCTCGAACTTCTGATCTCAGGTGATCCGCCCGCCTCGGCCTCCCAAAGTGCTGGGATTACAGGCGTGAGCCACTGTGCCTGGCCGAACCTTATTTTTAGAGATCACTCAGGCTCGAGCTAGGAATATAGGACCACAGGGTTGTCACTTGTCCCTGACTAACTGCTGGGCAGGCACCGAACAGCTTGGAACTGCATTCTGCCACCTGCTCAAGGGGTGATCTTGGCAGCTCTGCGCCTCAGTTTCCTCATCTGTAATAATCCGACTTCCCTTCGAGGGCAAGGAAGACTGGCTGTGGTAAAACAAAAATCAGCCCTGTTACAGCTCCTGGCCCGGGGTGTATGACCCGCAGGGCAGGAGCTATCAGGCTGTGGTGGTTTGGCTTTTATGACCAAGAGCAGACACCCCATTTCCTGTCCCTCCAGGCCTCCCACAAGTTACTGCCGAATCGTCCTCGTCACCCCCGGGGTCCAAAGTAGCCTTCCTTACACAGCCTGAGAAGACCACAGGCCGAGAGCCTGCCCGGGACACCACCCACAGGGAGCCCACCGGGCAAGCAGCCTCCCGAGAGACCGAGGAGGCTGGGGGCGCCGGTAAGTGGTGGGTGGCTGCCAAGAGGGATGGGGCACCCAGATGGCACCGGCTTGGAGTCTGGCCCTGAAGGATTCTCACAACACCTCCTCTGTTCTCCCCTCCAGGCGGGCCCCCAGCAGGCGTGCGATCTATCATGAAACGGAAAGAGGAGGTTGCAGACCCCACGGCCCACCGGAGGAGCCTCCAGTTTGTGGGGGTCAACGGCGGGTGAGAGGAGAAGACCCCCACTCCCCCCACACTTCCTGCCCCTCCTCCATTCATCCATGCACGAGAGCCTCCTAATTTCCTCATTCCAAGCCCCTTGCTTTGGTTAATTCGTTTAATCAAACCACAATACAGAGATGAGGAAACTGAGGCACGGGGAGGCTGAGCGCGTTGCTGGAGCTCACTCAGTGACCCAGGAGTCAGCCCCAGGTGCCCTGGCTCAAGAACTCAATGTGTAACCACTGCACAGCTCTACCCCACGGAAGGTGCCGGACTCCGCTTCCTGCCCTAATAGAGCTCCTGGTCCAGTGGGCAGCTGGGCACCGATGGGTGGTTGGAGCCACTCATCAGGTTGTGGTTGGAGCCATGATGGGGAACACTCAGGTGGTACCGGGCCTCAGGAAAGACACAGGTGGCCCTAGGGGAGTCCCAGAAGGAGGAGATGCAGGTGCTGCGGGAGAAGTAGGAGCTAGCAAGGCGAAGAGAGAGGGCACGAGGAGGGCTCTCCTGGCAGGGGCATAGCGTGGGTAAAGGCTCAGAGGCGGAAAAGCAGAGTGACTTGAGAAGTGGGAGGCGCAGGGAGTGATGGTGGGTTTGGGGCCTTGAATGCCGAGCCTAGAAGCTTGATTAGGTTTTGTCCAGAGCCAGCAAGAAACACGAGAGAGCCCTATTTGCAGTGGAACAGGAGGTCTGAATCACCTGTGTTTAATAGGGTTAGAAGTGGCCAGGCACAGTGGCTCACATCTGTCCTCCCAGCACTTTGGGAGGCTGAGGCGTGTAGATCACTTGAGTTCAGGAGTTTGAGACCAGCCTAGCCAACATGGTGAAATTCCATCTCTGTTAAAAATACAAAAAATAGGCCGGGCGTGGTGGCTCAAGCCTGTAATCCCAGCACTTTGGGAGGCCGAGGCGGGTGGATCACGAGGTCAGGAGATCGAGACTATCCTGGCTAACATGGTGAAACCCCGTCTCTACTAAAAATACAAAAAATTAGCCGGGCACGGTGGCGGGCGCCTGTAGTCCCAGCTACTTG